CGGGCCCAAATTTAACATCTCTAGTGATACATACTTAATTTACCTTCCAAATTTAGCTATCTCGCCAATAAGCCATTCATTATATGGTGGAATACAACAAAAAAAAATTTATTTGTTTATTAAGGTCCATGAATATTGTCAACACCATGTTTTTTTGTGGAAGTATAAGTAGTGTATAACATACTTTAACCTACGCTGAAAAATGTTTACGATGATTGGTACGGCTATTTATTCAAAACATGTACATTTTTTGTGATTGGTCAGTTATTTGTTGATTCTGAGTACAAGAAAAACCGTTACTGTTGGCCCAAAAATAGAAAATCTGGTTATTCGCTCTTTTTCGCTCTGGGTGCGATCTAAAAGGCGACTTTTAACAAAAACCGTTTTCTTCACAGTTTTTATCGGTTCCGGCGGCGTTTGGCGGCTGGATTTTTTCTTTTTTTTTCTATCTCTTCTATCTTCCTTAGAACAGTCTTTGATGTCTGATGCGTTATTGTTTTGGGTGAATCAGAGTTTTCATTTTTCTCTTCCGATTTCTGATGGAATCTATGGCTTATCATTAATTCCGACGGTGATTGATTTCCTTCACTTCCTGTTTCAGTTATCGTCTTTATTCCTCGTCAATTTTGGCGTTTTTGTTTTCCCTTTACTAGGATGGTATTTTACTGTCATTGATCTTGAATTCAGTGTCGGTGTATGTCCATCAAAATTCGTGATAAATGGTGTCTTTTCCGATGGTAAGGATTAGATCTTCTTGTCTTCAATCCAGCGGTCTCTATCGATTAGCCTTATGGTTTTACGAATTGTTGCGAGCACTCAGTCAACCATGGCCACCGCCGGGTATCCTCCTTTTGGGTGTACGGTTTGGAAATCTTTCATCTTGTAGAAGATGGTGGTGTGGTATGATAGCACTGGATTTTATGTTGATATTTGTGTGTGATTGGTTTCAACCATTGATTGCTCAATTAATTAGAGAAATCACGATGATAAACAATGGATGGTTTATTGTTTCATGGGAGCCACCATATAAGGGATTACTACAGAAAAGAGAAGACTTCAAAAAAATAAAGAGACAAAAGATGCCGTTCAATTTGAAGTTAAGGCTTTATTGGTTTCAGAGCAAAAGAATGTTAATGCCATGCACAAGTACAATAAAACATGTTATCTCCTACAACGGAAGTGTTTGGGACGGATTATGATGTAATAGATGGATCGTATCCAATGATCTTTTGAAAAAAAATTATTTACTCACAATAGTTGAGAGCCTCAAGAAAGATCTTATAAGACCAAAAACAAAGCGGAGAAAAGCTAGCGAATCAGCTTATCCTACGAATGCGCTAGGAAGCGTGTGTTAATGTTGTCTCTTTAAAAAAAATTTCTTAACAACATGTTTTATGTTTCTTTTTTCATGTAATATGTTATATTGATTTGAAATCAATAAAGTTAAGATGTTATAAAAGAAAAAAGAAAATCTTGTTATTCGATTAACTTGAACTAGGATAAGATCTGCGCTTTGCGCATGGTGAATGTGTATAATTAAAATATTAAATTTTAGTATTGACAAATTTAAAATTTATATATGATTGTTTTATATGTATTTGAAATTTTAGAATTTTGAAAATTTTATATAATTATCTATAAGTAGGATCAAAAACAATTGTAATTAGAACTGTTGATCAAAGCTTAGAATTTAATGTACCCGATTTCATAAATCTTTTCATTTTTCAGTGTTCGAGTGATGAAAAATAAACGGAGTGTCACTCGGCTTGATTGGTAGAATATTAGAAAGTTCCCTAATGCTTTCTTAAGAAGCAATTGGTAAAATATTGGCATTTAAAACATTTTAAGTTTGAAAAATAATTTAATATAATTTATTTATTTGTCTAATAATATTAGAAAATTATATTTTTTACGAATTATATTTTTTTAAAAATTAATTTTAATAAAAAAATAACTTAAATTTTAAATTATTTAAAAAAATATTTTAAGTTTTCAAATACAAATAAACAATTTAAAGTTAATTATGGTCATGATTTAACATAACCATAATAATGTAAAAATAAAAAAATGACAAATTAAAAATTAACTCAGTTTTATATATTGATTTAATCATTTAAAAATTTATTATGGTTATGAGAAGTTTAGGTTCACGTGTCAATCCTATTTATCTTCAATTTCTTGTTGTGTTCTTTTTTTTTTTTAATTTTGGTTATTACTCGATATAAATATTTATTTTGAAGTTTATTCTCATTTCATTTGTTTGTTTTGACCTTGTATTTAGAATATACTTAAGATTTAAAATAATTAAAGAGATATATGCTTAGACTAAGATCTGCACTTTATGCACAATAAGTGTTTTATATTTATTATTTATTTTATATTTTTCTGCATATTTTAAAATAAGAAAATAATATATATTAAATAGCTAGAAATAAGTTATTATTATGTAATAAATTGGCGTATGCATATAAATTTAACTATCACTCTTGTTTATTCGCAATTAGGGTAAATAAATCAAAATAACAATCTTTTATATTATATATGATATATAATTAAATTTAAATGATATAAACATAGTAATATAGCACACTTTTAATATGGATATTTATTAAATGAGGTTTCTACTCATATGATTTTATAATTATTTGCATATTTGTGTAACAAAACTTTACATTAACGATTTTTTTTTAATGTGAGATGTTTAGTAGTTTCAATAATTTATAATCATTTAAAAAAAACAATGACAGATTTCAAAACTAAAATAATAACTTTTCAATATATGTTCAATGCAAATATCAAAATATAAGTATGTATTTTCATATGATGTATAGTTTAATTTAAACGATATGAAATATATATAAACTAAAATTGTTTCTTCATATTGTGTTATAATCATTATATTTTAATATATAAAAAAATTAAAACCTTGATCCTAAAAGTTTATGTGAGACTTTTAACAGTTTTAGTAATTTATACTCATTTTGAAAAATTCAAAATAAAACATACACAAAAAATCTAAATTTTTATTATATAATTATTGTAACTGTGTAATTTATTTTAATAATAAAGAAATAAACAAAATGACAAAAATATACATATTGTTATCAAATTTTATTGTTTAAAACCATTAATTGTCATATATATATATATATATTAATCACATTGGGTAATTCCATAGGTTTTATTTAAGGAAAACATGCAAAACAATAAATATTTGATATATGCGACCAACTATAGCTTACGAAATATTATATTGCTAAAGAGTATAATTTTTAGTCTATACATTATATTATATGCTCTAGAATTCTTCTAAATTGAAATAGAAGACAAAGAACTATGCCAAATAGGATTATAATTATTTTTAATTAATACAAACTAAGGTTACAACTTTTTAAATGATTCTCTCGGATGTTAAAACTCGTTGAGCAAAACAAAAAAAAGTTGAAACTCATTGGAAAATGGGCTTTCATTCCTTTAAAGCCCATAAGCTATAATTTGACCCAATCAATTTGTTAATCATATAGACTACATTTGACTACATTTACGACTACAACAACTACACCGAATGAGGAAAAGTGAAACTAACAAAAACCAAGCCAAAACGGATATAAATACTTTGAAGAGAAAGCTGGTGAACACAAACAGTCCTTCTTTGACAAATAGGTACGACAATAATTGAGTGGTCTCAAATGCCACTTCAATCTTGGTACATTATTCCTTTGTTTTGGTTTTGTAAGCACAATTGTGTAACCATCCATTTTGCTCATATTATTACAACACATGTTGCCGGATTCAATGGACCATGATTTAGATTAATCTTAGTACATGTGTCGTTGTCATCTGAATAGATTCTAAACCTCCATTTTCTTCTTATTAATACAACATGTAGCCATATTCAACTCCAATGCAACGACACTTTGGGTAACGATGCTGCCTCAAATCTTTCAAGACTATGTTCAAAGTAGTAAACTCAGCTACACCATAATAAGACTAGTTTAACAAGAGTTAGAAAAACAGTTCACCAAAATGTTGTATTGCTGAATTCGTTGTAAGGAAGAGAAAAATGAGCAATGAAGAAGAGAACAGGTGTAGACTTGTAGTTAAAGCTAAATAATACAGGCCATGATATGTGTAGTTAAAGCTAATCCCACAAGATGATCATACTAGCAAGATGATCGTGTAAATCATTGTATGTGTAGTTGAAGCTAAAAGGACATGATATGTTAGTAAAACAATCCCACCAGATGATCATACTAGCAAATTAGTTCTGAATGTTAGTTAACTGATCATACTAACAACAAACTTCCTTATGATTTATATATTTACGTTTAATTTTAAAGATAGGTACATACTTATTAGAAATTAATATGGTGTGATTTGATTACGAGCAATCCTTGTCTTGTAAGCAAGCAGAGTAGAAGCACACAAGCTTAACTTCAAACTTCAAACACTTTGATCAGATGTTACGTAATTTTTGTCTCACCATGACCAACCAGTTGTTTCAATTTTTCCTTGTCTTTACAAATAATATGCTCTACTTTATAACAAAAGAAGAATAAGTTGCAAACCAAATGTTGAAGCAAGTGCCATTATTTTAACTTGTCACTTCAATCCAAAGGAACCTTATTCCTTTAATTTTGTTTAGTAAGCAAAATATCTACTAACCATCCATTTTCCTCGTATTAATACAACTTTTAGCCAGATTCAGTGGACTAAGTTTTAGATTAATCTTATTCTCTTAGTACATCAAGCTGTCATTTGTATTTGATCGTACCAAACGTGTTTGTGTCTTGTCTAGCCAATACAATATCATACATCGCCTCAACTAACAAGCTAAAGTAACCAGATATTAGTCATTTGATCCCTTCCCTTATTCCCTACTCCCTAGTACTATCTAGTAGTCTATAAAAATAATATACCACTTCGAATTGCCAATGTGTTTTTATATATGATACAAGTTTGAAACAAACGATATCTTTCAACCATTTAACTGTTAAAAAGTGTTCGGTGAAACTAACCAGAAGCGAGAGGAAAAAAATGAATATTAGTAAAATTGATCACACTAGCAAAAATTGATTTACACGATATCTACGTTCAAAACAGTTGACTGTGTAACATATACTCGACTAAAAAAGATCATTATAACAAAAAAAATCAAAATGGCATAATATGTGTGGTCTTGGTCTCGTAAGCAGCCAAAGCGGAAGCAGATGACTTAACCTTCAAAACCTTAATCAAATCCTTCGCCATTTGTCTCACCATCGGCGAACAGTTACTCTGAATCACCACTAACAGCTTCGTCACGCCGTTACTCCTCTCAACCGTCTCCTCCACCGTCTTATCTTCCTTAAACACGTGGCACAAACACCACAAAATCGTCACGGCGTGCTCCGTCGCCGTCGTCGATATTTTCAACAGCTTCTTCACCACTCCCTCCACGCATCCACCGCTACAAATCTCCGATCTACCTTCCCGCTTCGACGAAAAAGTCTCCAACAGCTTCAGAGACTTCTCCGTCACCGCGACGGTTATCGTCTCCTCCGTGAGGAGAATGTCTTTGATCTCCGCGATCGTTTTCGCGGCGATTAGTTTCGATCTCACTCGTTTCGATTTCGAGATTGTGATTAGGAACGATAGACTCGCTTCGATCAAATTAGGATCCGTCTCTGTGCTGATTGATTTTATCACCTCCGTTAGAATCCCGTCGCGTTCCGCGATCATCATCTTCGATTTCGTATCGACGGAGGAGATAACTTCCAAAACCGTAACGGATTCGATCTTCGATTCAATCTCCCCGCGCTGGATCGCGAGGTGAATCGCCTTCAAGAAATCTCCACCGTTGGTTAACGTTAAATTCGATAACCGTTCTCGATCTCTCTCGTTACCTTTCTCGATTATAATATCCAAAATCTTAATCGCTGTAGAAACTAGCTTAATCTTCTTCGCCGTCGTCACGATATCGACGAGCATTGGTACGAGATCCGTTTTTCTATAGAGAAACTCTCTATTCGCGTCCCTATCCTTAACGAATCGAACGATTCGTAACAGAATCTCTAAACGAATCTCTTCGTCTTTCTCGATAGTTAGTCTCGTCAACGAATCATTCACTTCTTCCACCGTCGGAATCTCTCTAACAGACGCCGGATCCGGAGAGTTAACGGCGGAGCTACCGACGGAGTCGGACCAGGCTTTGATAAGGCGTTGGAGAGTTAGGTTAGGAACGAGATCCTTGGATTTGAGGATCTGCATAGTGGCGGGGCAAGTGTTGTTGCCTCCGTCGAGCCACCGCTGGATACTTGGACGATCGTAGGTGACGCCGGTGCAGAGACTGACGGGAGATGACATCACGTCGAGAGATATCGGACACTTGAAGAAGCTGGGCACCGTAATGTACGTCTCGGTTTCATCTCTCCCCATCGTTTCTTTCGAGAGGTGAAGAATCGGAGAAAATGTGACGAGAAAAATGCGGGAAAATAAAAGTTAGAGATGATGATGCTATTGTAGTGAAAGGTGGGGGAAGGAAGTGAGTGGTGGTGGTTTTAAAGACAGAGTCAAACGCACGCTTGCGTCACCGTTTTGAACCTATAAAAACATACTATATAGTTTTTCATGATATATTCTTTATCTCTTTACACATACGAAAAAACATTCGGTCTATATATTCCCAAGATATGATAGTTTCATGTATATAGTAGTTTCTAGTGTGTATTGACAGAAAATATTTGTACAGTTGGGAAGTCGGATATATAAAGAATTAAATTTTGTATTTAATACGAAATTAATTGAGAGAATTAAATGTTGTATTTAATACGAAATAATAGACATATTCAACTAATTTCTTGGTCTAGGGTCAAAAATCAAAGAGTTCTTGCTCGGTCAAATGTCGTAACCGTTAGATCTGGCCATCTGGGTTTGATGGGAGCTTTGACCAACGGTGTCGATTGTTATACACGTGTGAGTTGTGAGGCCAGAAGCGTGTGGATAATAGTGGGGCCAGTATTCTGCACGAGGGTTTAGTCAAGTCCGATCTCGTCGAGAGAACAATGCACATGGACTTGGTCCATTATCTGTCTTATTTTTGGTACGTATAAATTAAAATCCTTTTTACTAGAAGCCAAACAAATGAAACAATCATGAAAAAGCAACGTTATAATATCTGTGTTCAAACTCTGAGTCAGCAAATAGATGGAAGCTGATTATATTGGTTATTTGCGAATAATAATTCTTGGACATATAAATTTATTTTGTGTTAATGTGGTATAATAAGTTGTGTTGTGGCTTGGCTTCCACTACGGATAAAGGGGAAAAATATTCGAGCGAATGTGTTTTATTCGGGGAGAAAAGCAAAGCGTTTCTTTTTGTTGTTGTTGTGGATTGTTATCTTCTGGTCAATATAATATGTTTGTTAGATAGTTTAACCTTCTGTGATGAGCAACAACATATATACTTAGAAAAGTATTCGAATATCCACAACATTTTTAGGTGTATTTAACGTATAACACATATGGTTAACACTGCCTAATTTTCCAACGAAGCTGTATAATTGACTAACCGATTAGGGGTTGCATTGAATATATATATATATCTCCCAAATTCAAAGGATCGGAGGGTTTTTTTTTGGTAAATGATTTGAGAATTTGGTTCTTTTGTTTATTTGTTAATTATTGCTTTGTTTGCTCACGTACGGTTGTGCCATTACATATGTTTAAATGACAAATTAAGTGTGTGGGTGCTTCGTATTTGATAGTACATCAGTTCGAATAATGCGAATATATTTTAGTTCGTTTGTTCTGTTTCAGTTTTTTCTTTGACTTGTAAGTGGTTCATCGCTCTCTTTTTATTTAATGTTTAAATTGGTTTATAACCTCTCCATTGATCCCTTCATTTTCTCTTCATGGATAATTAACTGGATGATCCTTACCTAGTTTTCTTACATTGAATTTTACAAACTTTGAATTTGGAAACAAAAAAAAAAAACTAAATATCCGTGGATGGTATAAGCAGAGGGTGACCGAAAGTTGATGGCCTAATTAGGTCAAGTTTCGATTAGGTTTAGCATAATTAATCAGGTATGTATATAATCATGGTAGTAGCCGTTGAAAAGAGCGTATGATATGAGCAACCTTTTAATAAGACTCAGATACATTATTTTTGAAGATGTAGCACGTCCTTGTCTCAAAATTCAAATTGCAATGAATGGTAACTAAATAGCATTTAATTAAACAAACACTTTTCTTATCAAATTATACTATGTTTTTGTAGTCCTCATTGTGATGACAGACGAATGAATTGAGTATACATTAACTCGTGAGCATATAATTTGCTAATTGCGCATAGTAGGGTAAAATTGCACCGAAAGAGAGTTAAAATATAATGATGCGAGCGTGCATGATTGTCTACAATAAGTAATTATGGCAAATCTGAAAAATCTGCGTCAGATTATAATTATTTCACCTTTAACAAGTAACACCACTCATCATCTTAGTCATCCATTATTGTTCTTGGTAGACAATAATTTTCGTTTGTCAAAAAAAAAAAAAATCGTTTGTCCTCATATATATACAAGCAACTTTTCTATCTTTTTTTCTTTGCAAACAGTGTTATATCTTCTAATCGGGAACATGTATTTCTCATTATTAAAAAATATTGCTGCAAGAAAATACTAATGTGAAATGGGTAAAAACGAGATTTACGTCCAAACTTTTCTTCTAGTACGTTGTCTAAATGGGAAGTATGTCTATGTATCTATATATGGGAAGATATGTATGGTAAAAGTTTATAACTGGACATGTAAATATCAGTATACGAACTGTAAATTCACGGAAACATGTATACTTCTATCATCATTTTTTTTTTTTTTTATTTGTATCTCAAACTTCATGCGCATGGTACAGAAGATATTCATTAATCTCTCAACTCCTCCTAACTCATCTAATACAAATATAAATGATGATAGAAGTATACATGTTTCCGTGAATTTACAGTTCGTATACTGATATTTACATGTCCAGTTATAAACTTTTACCATACATATCTTGCTACTGGTTAATTAATGGCAAAAAGACAATTCTGCATGACACGTATTCAAAACGAGTTCTCCATAAACTGATGGTCCAAATAGTTCGAAATAAATATTGAGACCACAAATAGCTAGAGATATGAAGAAGAATCGAGTTCCAGAAGTGTGGGGTTATGTTTCATATCATTCAGAGGTTGCCAGGGGTAGAGGCAACTAGCTTGCATCACATGCAAAAGAAAAACATATCCAATGTCATGTCCCCATTCCGAGTCAACATCATCCAATTTTTGGTGAGTTATATATCAGATTTGACCAGCTTTTCTTCTTTAATTCTGATTCGGCACTAGCTAGTACTACTATATTATATCTATGTGGGTATTTGTATTTATACAAGCCCTTTGATAACATATAATTCTACTATACAAGTACATAGATTAGTCATGGATAAAAGCTAAACTAACTTTCCTAATGCTGTAAGAGTTTAATATTTTAAACTTTAATGGTAGGAAATAGTAAGAAAAGTAATAAAATCTCTAATGATGAAGATATTCACACGCTACGGGTAATTAAGGAAGATGATAAGAGTAAAACGAGGAACCGTAAAGTAACCTTGGTATAATGATAACTAGATTTTAATCCGCGGCGCGATTAAAAAATTATATAATTGGATTTTTTTCTTAATTTAAAGAATGTTTTGGTCTAAAATCAGTTCACTAAAACTTGTGGTGATGATTGTTTTTCATTAGTTTTTAGTTTCAATTTTTATTTTTAGATTTTTGTTTTAGATTTTGATTTTTTGGGTTTTAGTTTAAGTTTCTATTTTTGATTTCAGCTTTTGGTTTGAGTTTTTAATTTGCTGAGTTAGTTTGAACTGATATCGAACATATAATTTAAAACTGAAAAGATAACAAAAGCTTTTTTTTTTTAAAACAAATTGCAATATTTTATTTTGTAAATAAAGAAAAGCAAAAAATATAACCTATGTTTTCAACTTTTGGTTTTGGATTTTAGTTTTTTTTATTTAGTTTATGGTTTTGCTTTACATATTTTTTTAAATCAGTAAATTATTTAAGAAAAAGAAAACAATATATTATTTAAAAGTTACCATTGAAATTTATCAAAAAGAATTGTTATTTAAAATAAAAAATACATTATCATGTTTTTAAGTACATGATTTAAATAAATGATTAATAATAGACAATTTTATTTTGTTAAAATCTTAAATATCTTTTGGGCCTGAAAAAATAATTGATTTTTTAATCCATTAAGTTGGAAAGTTTATTTAATGTTTTTTGGAGTTTTTCCTTAATATTAAGCTCAAAAACCAAATCATATAATTTATTCTAAAAACAAAAGTAAGTCCAAGACTATATCCCATAAATAACCACCGGTTTAATTTAAGTAATACGGTTTAATTAACTATATAACTTGTATTATTTGTAACACTCTAGAAATGGTCCAAATTTAAATGACAACTTGTATTAGTAGATAAAAAGAATGACTCTATTTTAATAGAATAGATAGAATAGATTCATTCGCGTGCGATTATTTTAATTCCATAACAAAACCTTTATTTTTGCTTATATAATGGAATAAAGTTCTTGCTTTTGCTTCTTAACAAACGGGAAAGCTTTTGATCACAGTTATATGCAATCAAGACAAGCAAATTTTGTAATTGAAAGGATTGTTGTAAGGATTTCAAACGTACGAGGGCGTATTGCTCGTGTAGGATATGTACATATATATACATTTTCTTTTAGTGAACCTGTGGCTATATATACAATATAATGTGTGTTGGCCAGGAAAAGTATTTTACTGGATATCATTATATAGGTGAACATTTTTGGTTCATTTGAAATTATTAAAGTGACTAAAGTTATTATTCTATACTTTTGGCCAATCCAATTCTTGTTAGTAAAACTATAAGAAAATCATAAGATTCAATTTCACAGTTTGCTTGCGTTAAAGATAACAAATGTTAACCATACAATGTGAATGTGATGGTGGTTCGGTGGCTGGAAGGATTCGGGTTACATGGAATCTGAGTTTGAAGACACCTAACTACAAGGGGTTTTTGTCAAAATTAACCCATAACTTGGTTTTAACTCCAATACTATACCCCAACTTGAATCAAATGCAAATCTAATCTAAAAGGGCTATGAAATTATAGTATAGTGCTCTGTGACCAAACAAAAAAACATAAGACATTTTTACGAATATAACCCCAGTAAGTTGTTGGGTCGGGCTGAGTTACTTTTCAGTCGTCTGGACGACTGAAATATTAGTTGTCTGGATGATTGAATCTTAAAAATAATTTATAAATTCTGTACAAAATATTTTGATGAGTGAAAAATTAAAAGCATGTAATTATAAACATTTATAAGTGATATAAATTAAGAAATGATAAAGTTGATTTGTTTTCAGCATAGATGAGTGGAAGTAGTGAATCATGATATTCTTTGGTTTAAGGGTTTGGCAAACATATGTTGTAGTATTGTATGTAATTTTAGGGTTAGATTTTGAAAAGCTGAAATGTTTTTTTGAAAAAATTAATTTGACCTCTATGTGTTTATTTCTGTGTATAGTGAACATTTTTCAAGTTTAAATTGAT